TCCCGAATAAGTTTTAAATTAAAATTATTCCAAAACATGACCATACATTGTTTGCAATCGTTAAAATAAAGCTGTTTATAAGCTTGTCTGTATCTTGAAGCGAAATGTTTCACTGATTCACAATTATGGCTAAATACTAATCAAAGCATTTTACTAACAGGTACTAGTACTGTGAATTTATATTTCCATTTAAACATTTTTTGCAGAATGACTTCAAAATTAAAAACAACACAACATAAAATTGTGAAAGAGCTTTTTCACAAAATTGACTTGATGATAGCTCTGCTTCTGAATACTCTTCTCTTATTTATACATATTTCTTTTAAACGATAGGAAGAATATGGTGTTTTCTCAATCAAGCTTGATTATAATTTTATAAAAATAAGTAAAAAGAAGAAAAAAAATTCTTGTAAAATTTGACACCTTCATTACCGTAGTTTATAATGTACATCCAGTTGCCATTTTTTTCAATATGAGGTAACATCATGCTTACTGACTTTACTTATAGCTACATGTCTCAAAACACCCATGTTTGCTATTTATTGTTGGAAAATGTTTAACGGAGAAAAAATTTAAATATAGATATCCGGCGCATAAAATTAAAACTTTTAAAACGGTTTTCTTGATTGGTTAAGATAACAGAGTTTTGCGTGCTTTATCAAATAACACATTATCTAATTTGTCAATGGATTAATAGCATTAAAACTGCTAAAATAACTACAATGCAATGTTAAGATAGTGTTAATATCTTTTTCGGAACTTACGTTAAATGAGCCATGATTATAGGGAATACAACATGTTAAAGTTTAAATATCAGTTCCGCATTTTTTTTGGAAACAGTTTAAAGACATTTCCATTTTAAATTGATTAAATGCCTGCTGCCGAATAGTCTTCTGTATTTCAATTATTTGTTAAATATAAGCAAGATGATTAATCTCATATAAAAAAGATAAGTTACATAATACTTTTAAATATGTAAACAAAAGAAAAACTAAAATTATAACCTCTTCTTTTCCTATACATCCGATATTTCTCTTTTTTTCTAATCCGTTTCAGTCGATATTATTTCAATAAAGATATTTGATGGGTAAATATAAGAAGGTATTTCGGTCTGAATTAAATTACATATTATTTAATCTAAGTATATTAATTACAACAGTGATAATTTCTTTAAGTACTGCATAACAAGGTGAAAACTTATGGTAATATCTCTTTGTCGGAATTAACTTAAGTAAAATAATACAACAGTTTAAAATCTGAAAGAAGTAGCGTCTTGAAAAAAAAAAAACATGTATTCATCGTTCATTTGGAAATGGATATGAATCAAATAATTAATGATTTAATTATTGGTGTTAAACTCATCTTTCAGAATACCTGGCTTTTTCATGGCTGTCAGTTTGGATTTTTTTGGTGGAAGAACCCATGATACATTGTACCTGTAACTACTGTCGACCTTAGTCAGGAAAATTAGCCATCGTTGTCAATCAAGTACTGGTACGACGTGCAACAGTTCTACCCCTTGCCAACATGAGTTGAAGACATATGGTTTACTGCACCTTAAGACGCTAATTAATAATAAACTCTTCACAGATTGTGTACACCAGACGCGCGTTTACTTATATTAATTATTAATAATTAAAGGTAGATGGGGTGTCTAAATTGAAATTGCGATAGAATTTTTTTTATTATTTGCCAAAATGTCATTTATGTCATGCTTTTTTAACATACTATAAAGTATGGGTCACGGGGCACTTTTTCAAGTTACAGGTTGTGCAAAATTGTCAGATTTTGTATAGATTATACACTGAAAACACAAATGTGTTATAGAAAGACTAGAAATTTAAGATAAAATATTAGCCGATATTTCTTTACATGTACTTTCATGTAAAAATAGATGTGGTATGATGGTTAATGAATGCAAATGATGCAAATAACGTGCATCTAAGCAACTATATATATAGGTCATCGTACGGCCTACAACAATGAGCAAAACTCATACCGTATAGTCAGTTATATAAGGTTCAAACAATACAACATGTGAATCAATTCACACGAGGAAAACAAGGGCCTAAAGTATGACAACACAATAAATCCGTTTTGAAATGCGGAATGTATAAATACACATCCACGTCCGATTGGATTGTAGGCGTTAAATATTATGCCCCTCGACAGTAGAGAAACATATTTCCACGTTATCCTTTAAAACAACTCTATGTTAGGGTCAGTAGGTTATCCGTTAATGGGCAAGTTGCTGAACTTATTAGTTTACCGTTGACTATTCTAATGTTCTATCCTTGATACATGTCGACCCGCGCTTTGCAAAACCTGTCTTAATAATTTATTGATAACTTTGTTAGCGATCTGAATATGTCTTAAATATTCGCTACTGGACGTAGATCAAACAATAATCAATGCCTACAAAATGATGTTTTGGTCATTATTTCAAAATTTTTATTTCAAGAACAGGAAAACTATTTGTCTATATTTCTCTGTTGTCAGGTTCTTTTTTGCAGACTGTGCATTCGTCAATTAATGAAACGGTGAATATCTTCTGGATGAAAAAGTGAAAAGATGAAAATGTCATTTAACATGTAAAAAATGGCATTATTAAATAAAACGTATACCTTTATCCACGGAGTGTACCTGGCATCGAAGCATCCGATGCATATGCGCATGGATAAAAAAAGGCCCAAAACATGGAAAAACAAGAAATAATATAAAAAATAACAGTTTAACAAAAGTCTTTTGTTTTGCTTCATTCTGACTTCTTGGTCAAGGTGTAATAAAAAAATTATATCTTGTCATATTGCAACTTAGTTTGCAAAATTTAAAGCGCTATTTGAACTCACTGAATATATGACTTTAACTGAAAATACATGAAATTCCATTTCTGTCTACAGGAACATAAACTTTAAAAACCAAGATCAAGTTTGGTTGATTTGTTGTGAGAAATCCGTTTGCGCCAAAAGTGTATTCTTTTGCGCCACAACTCATTTGTACCAATGCTACGTTTGCACCACAAGTTTTCAAAAATACCTAGTATCATTTGCGCCAAAAATAAAGTCTACATGTACAATTGCGCCAATTTAAAACTGGGTGTGATGTGGCTTCCTTTATTTCAAATGATCATTTAAGAAAAAAAACTATCAATTGTTTTTTTTTGTTTTTTGTTACACTGCTTTCTCTATTAAAGGTGTCACACCACCCATTCAAAATCCCTATACATTCAAGTTTTTCTTTTCGATTTTCACAGCTCTTTAAATATTTTACCTAAGTTTAACTTCATGCATAAAAACCATGTATATCCCTAATTATACATGTATAACTTTCTACACGTCAACTTTCAAACAATGGTTAAAGTCTTATAATTTAATTTTGGATGTAACACGTATTCTGATTGGCTTTCAAATCAGAATACGTTTTTTGTCTAACAGCTCATAGATATAATTTTGTCATGTGACCATGACGTCATCAACGTTTTTTCATGATTTACTCCTTTAAAATGGAATTTCGAATTAAATTATAAGGAATGACTGTAGTATTTTTTCTGTCTATTTAAAATAACCTCAAAAATGTGGTGCACACTTTTAAATAACCTGCGTACCCTACGCGGGTTATTCAGTGTGCACCACATTTTTGATGTTATTTCTTCATAGACAGAAAAAATATTACAGTTATTCCTTAAGTATTGACACATGATGTAACGGGAAGTCCCCTACTACTGAACATACCGCGTTGGTTTTCTAAAAATCCTAATTAGCATACTATTTAGCATATCTACCCTTAAATTGTGATGCAAGTTCATGCAATAGTAAATTCTGGGCTCAAAATGATCAAAATATATTTCTCCATCAGAAAAAAAGTTCATTCATATAAATTCATTTGCTAGTTTAAGTACACAACAACATCAAAAGCACCATTTTTTGTCAGAGTAGGGCTTCTTTTACAAATGTTCTAAATGCGAGTGGGTAAATTAGTGGTCTGACACCTAAACATCGCCGTCAATATCCGATTAGACTGATGGCGAAAACAACGGCGCCACTCGGACGCAACCTCTCAAAGAGTCGTGCAACTGCAATACATAACCATCAAAACAATCAGGTATCACACAATTTCTAAAATGAAGACTTATAGAAGGTATAACATATAGTTAAATGTTCCTTTCTATCCAAAAGTAAGACCCATAACTCGTGCGCGTCCATTTGATTGTGTGGGATGTATAAATACGAAGCCACCACTAGCAGAAAAGAGATATCTAACCCGGTGTCCTTGTAAGTAGAGTGTCGCCCCGTTGCTACGCATATATAGTTAAACAGCCAAACAGAAACACCGTAATTAGGGTCTTACTGCCCGACGGTTGATCTGTATTCCGAAGTCACATGTAACCCTCGGATTTAAAAGTTGAGAATGATATTATTAATCTCAATGAAATTATACCGTACAGTTATACATTGTCTTTTAGATTTAAATCTAATCATTACGGTGATGTGTGTCCTTGATGGCTTATAAGTAGGAAAACATAAAATTTCAAATTTTATATCAAAATTAATTTCAACGGCAATGTGTACAGCACTGAATAATTCTTTGATTGGATTAATGTAAATTAATTTTCATGTATTACATGGATTTACTCTTCAATATAAATCAAATTCATGTAGGTTTCAATATTTACCGTTTGATTTTTCCTTTTGAATGAACCAATACAAGACAGATTCGCCATTCAATTTTAGATTTATTTTCTTTATCTCAGCTTAAAGTGTATTGAGGTATAGAAATGAAGCCACCTGTAAGTTGATAAAACAGTAATACTTATTATTATTTGGTACATAAATGTTTTCTTTTTGCTTTGTTGGATGTATAAATACACATACACGTCCGATAGGAATGGGGCGTTTAAACTAATACCCGACGACAAAAGTCTTGAAAATTGGTACTAATCACGCAAAATTAAGGTGTAAGAACAAAGACTGGTCGGTCCTAATAATGTGTCTGGGTACACTGTAAAAATTGTGCTTAGAATTTAAACGTGTTGCAAGACTTATGTGCTTAGGAAAGTGTTTAATTTCTAAACATAAAAAAATAAACATGTTTTGGCTCTCAGCACTTCGCAATAAACATGTTTTGGCTCTCAGCACTTTTCAATAAACATGTTGCTGTGCTTAACATGTTTAGCTACTTTGTCAAGTATATAAAGCTAAACGTGTTTAAATTCTAAGCACTTTCAATATTTAGACACTTTCCTAAATACGTTTAGAATTACAACACATTTAGGCCGAATACGGCTTTCATATCACGTGCTAATTTTTGAGCGGGAAGAAGAAACAAAGAACCCGAAGTCAAAGGCCACGCTGTTTACTTCTGACCATATAAACTGACCGTAACTTGACTGTTTCAGAAAGGTAAGGAGTTATGATTATACTGTCTTTTATTTTGTACTGCCAATTTTAAATGATTATTGACAGTTATAAGCATTATTTACAAGTACACTACCGTATAGTCAATGCAGAAGAGAAAAGGGGGTACCATCCCACGAAACAAGTGCTTGTAAGAGCTTTAAGTGTTCAAACTATCTTGTGTATAGATGATAAGAGTTGTTTAATGTGCTATCATGCAAGTTTGCATTTATTTTTTTATTTATATATGTTCTTGGAAAGGAGTTTGTGAGGATAATTTTCGTTCGGTACTCCTCGGCAGATTATAATGGAACATGAAGGATAGTGGAATCTGCCGAGTCTTATCAGGATGAGGTGCATCATTCGCAAATCCAGTGTCATATCGAGTTCATTGTTTTCGTAAGCACTTCCGATATGCACAATCAACATTTCCTCAAAATAAATAGAAAGATGCTTGTTTATTTCAATAGTTATAAGCGGTTGTGATTTTTTTTATAATTTTATTGATATGTATTGTTTTATTCTAGATGAGAGAAGTGCAGAGGAAATCATCATCTGTCTTGGCATGCTAAAAGAGGAGATAAAGAACAGTAGCAAATATGCTGCTAGGTAAGAATCAAAAGTGTATTTGATTTTAAAAATGCCAATATATATTTGATCAAATGAATAATATTAAGCATGAAAAGAAGTTTTATATTAAAAAATATCAATTGATTCATCAGTAAATTTATGTTTTTATACCACGGTCCTAATGTTGTTATCTGGATCTTAAATCATGCTTTTACTTTTTGGTGTTGTAGTTCGTATTCTTATATTTTTAGATTAATTCTACTTAGTTGCTTATCAATATTTTTCTATATTTCAGGCCATTGACCAGCAGTTGGGTACTAAGAAAGGAGAAGCTCTTATTGACCTGTAAAATGAAAACAGGACATTTTCAAATTGTTTTGTTGTAGGGATGGGGTACAAGTAGAAGATTGGTCAATATTATGTACATGTACCTTGATATAAATTTATTTTTGATTGTGTTCAATGATAAACTGGAAATAAATGATAACATAAATTCCTTTGTTTTATATGTTGTAATTTTGTTTTTAAAGCTAGAATTAGTATAATGATAATTTCATTTCAAAAGTTCTAGACTGTTTTACGAATATTTGAAATGATGAAAAAATGCAATAGTCGAATGATGTAAACTGAATTAAAGAAAAAACTCATTGAGATTGAAAAGGTATTGGTCACATTCAATTTGATATGTAAATTCCAGTTTCTTAGTTTGATGCATTGGCTCCTTTTTGTGATGGTATGAAAACCTGTTTTATTGAGAGCTATCATACGTTTTACAGTCAAGCCTTCCGGAATATTAGTTTAATTGGGGCCTAATGAAGTAACGGCTTCTCACAATAAAATGATAAACATGTTTCTTCACGACCCTTTATGGTCTAAACATGTTTACATTCAAAACACTTCACAGCTAAACGTGTTTCCAGACAAAACACTTCTCAGCTAAACATGTTTCCAGATACAACAATTCACAGCTAAACATGTTTACTGTACAGTCTAAGCACTTTTTAGCTAAACGTGTTTCTAGTCTAAACGCTTTACAGCTAAACATGTTTACAGTCTAAGCACTTTATAGCTTGACATGTTTAGGCTGTTAACACATTAAATATTAAACATGTTTAGATTTAAAACATGTCAAAAATCGGTTTCATAAATGTGTTTAGGAAAGTGTTTAGGCTCTAAACACATTTTTTAGAGTGTAGGGTGAACTCTCTTCCTGCGGAGCGTTACCTTGTGAACTATCACGTTAAAAATCCGGCCCAGCGTGTCGGTCTAGTACAAAGCAGGGTTCATATTCATCTCAAATCAACATGTTATCGTCCTGAATATGCAATTAACTGGCCACACTGAATGTTAAACAGCCATCCATCCATCTCTTTCCGTGGGGCAAGTAAGTGACTTATTGATAGGCAAATCTTATGGACTTTTCAAGGCGAATTGTATGGACTTTTCAAACATGCGTGATCTTTGAGAACTTGTGACAGTCTACATAGTATGATCATTGTTGCATGTCAACTCACTTTGCTAAACCTATCTTACTAATATTTGTTAACTTTGTTGTCGACCTGAATATATTTGAACTATTTGCCACTGGACGTCTGGTAAACAACAGTCAATGTTTATCTAATGATTTTATCATAATTTGTATTTGTACATTAAAACTTGATATTTTATGCTAAATTAAAAATGTCATGATCGCATTCATTGAAAGAAGTTCAGGGTCTTCCTTAATATAGATAATACTTTATTTGTATAATAATTTTTGTATAATTATCATAAAATAGGGTAGCATTCTGTAATATCGTTTATCATACTTTATTTACCCAATAAAAATCGTTTAATTTAAAGGTCGGTTATTACGCAATAAAAATTAAATAGCTTATATAAGTAAAATAAAATTAATGATAGCCATAATCCCCGACTCTGTAAGTCCTTAAAAGCCTCAGTCGCACTTCATGATTTTTTCTGTCATACTTATTTATTTGTGTATTTAACTATTTACAAGTAACCCCTTCCGTTAGTCTAAGTCCCCTGCCTGAGGAAGTGGAATTGGGTTTCGAGCAGGATTAGTCCAAGCACTTAGTCCCGGATATACAGATAAAGATATAAAAACAAAGCAAATCTGAAGAGTAAATGTACCGATTTTATATGTATATTTTATATTTGAAGCGAACTGCTTTAAGAAATTGTATTCTGTCAACTTCTCCATTCTGGTATTTTCTGAATAGTTCCATCATATACTCTGTTTACTTTTTCTTACTTCTACGTACAACTGCTGGTGTATCAAGTCTTCTTAGTTTGGAAACAGAATGCTATATACTCTGCAATATTCGCAATTAAATTACATGTATACCTGAAGCGATTACGGGTTTTCTCATAATCACTTAATATATATTTTTACAATTCGATATGAAAAAATATATAAATCAAAATGATAAATATGTTCAAAATGAATAACTATCGTCATATTTATTACGAATTATCGACATATTTACCTGTATGATGTATGGATTTGGGGTCCTTAATTTCTGTATTCTTTTAATATTTTAGAACATTTATCTTAATCTTTAAAAATAACGCTTGGTCTCATGAGTATAAATGATCTTACAATTAAAATGATCTGTAATTAGAAGATTTCTTTATTCTGTACATCGTTCACTTCTGCAATCAGTATTGTAATACCTGATTTTCCATAGTTTGTCTGCATACTTTTGCACCCCATAATTTTTTATTTTTTTATATATTTTGCTAATTTTTCTCTTTTCATATTTTTTGGGGTTCATTATTCTTTATTCTGTAAACCCCATCCAGGCCACCCTGTATTACATGTACCTGTAAAATAAATGCGCGCAAATGTGATAAAAAGCTGGGCGCAAACGTAAAAAAAAGTAATCCCCAAATGCGCGCAAATGTAATGGTAGGGATTTATTCCTAACAACATAGCTGATTATGTAAGGCCGTTGTCGTTTAGTATGACGTTATAAGTTTTCGCTTACCTTACATGTGTTTTTGTTGCATAAATTATATTCTCTGATCGTTAAGTCAAATATTGGCTAAAGTTAAAATTATTTGAACACTAGCCTCGAGACAGTTACCAGACTTATGAGGGTACCTTGTCTACAATTGGCTTGTTGCATGTTTTTTTAGTTTATGCTTAAAAGAAAACACCGTGTGAAGTTATTATGACGAATTTATTATAAAAAAATGGGGTAATGCGTCTTTTTGTACATATCGGCATAAGTATTCGATGGCGACTTTTTGATTAACGAACGCCTTAGTTTATAAAGTAGAAATGTATTCCATCGGCACTGAGTAATCTCTAACAGCATGTTTGAACGCCAATTTCAAATGCACTTATTTTACAGCAGTACAAATAGGTGTTTGCTGTTTTTCAGAAAATGTAGTTTAATCTTTTACTGAAATAGGTATAAAATGTGTTTCAATGAAGTTTAAAGTCTTTAAATGGTCTGTTAAGTTTGAGATAATTGACTCTACCACATAGAGCATACAAAGCACAACAGTTTATGTACCATGATATTTGATTAATCAAATACCACCTCATACTGCGTAACTTTTATGCACTTCTAAACGGTACATTTGTTCTAATGGTGTAATTTTATAATATAAGAAATTTGAAAACTCTATAGAGCAGAGAATTTTGGATTCTTAACACATTCAAAAATTGTTTATCAGTTTATGCAGGTACAAATAATTTCCACTTCCAACAAAAGAGCAAAACTTCTTCAATCAGTTCTAGTGTATATTTGTTAAACATGAAGCCAAAGTATAGCGTTAAACGTTCTTCACAAATACTCGTTTCGACAATTCAACATCATTCAACTAAATCAAGAGGAAAACAGATATACGTTTGTGAATGTTTGATTTACTTTCATCTGACGTATTTTATGACTACCAGGCTTCAACTTATGAAGTAAATTATATTTTAAATCTACCATACAAACATATCTTACGACTTCTTTTGACGTCTACGATAAATGTCTGATATTTTTTCTGTTCTTACATGGATATTTTGAGGATTTGGACTCCTAAAAATACATCACATATCTTCACGTCTATCGTTTTATATTAACTGACTTGCCTTTATATTGTCAAATACATTTTATTTTAATAAACACATTGATCCTCTTAAAGACACTTGCATAGTCTTATGGAATAAGTTTCCGACACATTTATGCTGTCAAAAGTGTTGAAAATCATATATGATACATAGGAGATAGTTTTATATTGAGCTGTGAAAACTTAGCAAATTAAAGCAAGAATATTAACTGTTTTTGCGGTTGGATGTCATAACTTTACAACCGAATATTGTGGTATACTTTTTATGTTCTTGTATGGCATTTTAAGAGCTGAGAATACTCGCTTATACTGTAAACTAGTAACGATTTGTCCTTTTCGCATGGTCATTAAATCAATGAGTGTCCGACTTCCTAGTTTATTTTGCCACGGCCTAAGGCGAGTTTGGGTACACGTTTATTCTAAGATGTGTCGTACTTCTATCTAAGGTAGCACAACAGTCTTATTCAGTAATATCCGGGCTGGTTGTATCTAAAAGCTATAACTTTGTCATATAGATATTAAGAAAATGAAAAAAAAAAACATATTGAAGATGAGATAGCCATTCTCTAAAAGAGTTGGATAAAATAGGATACGTGAAAAGAGATTTAATGTTATTAAATTACAAAATCCCTTAAAACCCGTAAGTCTATTTGGAATGTGTATAACTGTATTCTTTTTATTGGCTGTTCCTATGTTACAGTTTTTGGTGGGGTTCGTGTTGCTTAATAAAATTGAGAATGGAAATGGGGCATGTAGTCTTTAGTTTTCTATGCTGTGTCATCTGTACTATTATTTGTCTGTTTGTCTTTTTATTTTTGGCCATGGCGTTGTCAGTTTGTTTTCAATCAATGACTTTTGACTGTCCCTCTGGTATCTTTCGTCCCTCTTTTACACATGCATTGTATTGTGAAAAAATTGAGAGTTAAGTACCGCGGAAGAAAATTATAGTGCTTTACTAAAATTTTCATGTTTTTGATACAGAGGTTTTAAGAAGTAATGTGTGCCGTGTTAATTTCTAAACAGAACTGAACGAGCGGTGACCTCTCCTCAGCTGGTATATTACGTGACTGCAAGTGAAACGTGTATATCCACGTTACAAGCAAACATTCCTAGTACATACAGAATGACCGATAAGTTATTCCAATCAAGACAAGCTAATTGACATCTTATTTCAAAAGAAAGCAAAATCAAATAAATTGTATGGTCAAATATTTATTATGAACTTGTAGTGTGAAACATTAAATAAATACTCACACATAAAACAAAACAAAATAAAATGTGACATTGGCGTTACAGGTAACATGCTTTTTCATATGAATTTGAATAATTACTATACTATTATTATAATATAAAATATTGGTTTTGCTGAGCCAAATAGCTCGGAAAATACCCCATTTTTGTCATAGTAAAATATGGTTAGTATGT